CTGAAAGTCAACTGCATCCAGTGGTGCCTCGGTTCATGAACTTAATTTGTTCTATGATTTTGGCAAAGATGGCCACATTTGTACTTATGCGGGAAAGGTGGCCAAACTCTTGTTTGTCATCCACTGCTGTTTAATTTTGCCAAAATTTTGCTTAATTTTGCCAGACACTTCTGTATGTGAACCAATTTGTTTCCAAACAAAAGCATTCATGAACCTGAAATCAGATTATGTAGATTTTTATGAATCTTTCAAGTTACCAACAGAAAATAGTTTTGTTGAATATTTTGAAATTGACTAGTATTGAAAACAAGGTTGCTCTTGTTTAATATTTGAATGTGGCATAGAAAAGTAGAACCCAACTGAATAACTCCTTATGTATGAAATAAATTCAAATATTTTTTCATTAATACAGAAGTATTTTTAAATTATATGACTATTATAACAAGAAGGAAAATGCAAGCAAGCATGATACTTTTCATGCATTATTTTTGAAGCTCACATAGTGCTGAAAGAAATCTATAGAATACATAATATTAGGGAGGGGAATAAAGACGTTTCTTGAGAAAATAAATATTATTTGGAGCATATGTTTTTTCCTGAGATGATAGTTCAGTCACAAAAATAATGCTTTTCTATAGAAAATTGACTGGCTTATTTTTCACGGATTTCAAAGAAGCATTAAAAAGCATTCTTAAGGTAATTATCTTTGTTTTTCACTTTCATCAACTATACAGTTATAGTCATTGTTAGAAATGTTTCCAACTAGCTGCCGTATAAAAAATTCCCTCTCCAAAATGCAGGATATGTTTTAAAAATATTTACTTTTATCAACTAAGTCAATCCACTATACATTATAACTGAAAATAAGCAATGAAAAAGATGTATAATGTACAAAGCCATAAAAAGAGTCAAAACTCTGAAGTTATTTAATAATCCCCCAGGCCACTATGCCATTGAATTTCCATGGGGTTTTTGTTTGTTTATTTTTGTTTTTGTTTTTTCACTTTTGCTTTACCTGTAGATGAAACAGTCTGGAAATCAGGCTCATTCCAAAAGTGTTCTACAGATGAGACGGTATTGGTGGTTGTTAATTGGTCCAGAAAAGAGAATTTGGGGCTGGGGATTTAGTTCAGTGGTCCCACCATCTTCCTTGCAAGCGCATGTACCCGAGTTCGATCCCCAGTACCAAAAAAAAGAGGGGTAAATTTGCTTTTTTTTTTTTAAAGCAAGAATAAATTTTTGATATAGGGCAAGAAAATAACAGCAGTCTACCACCTTTAGAAACTATCTGTCAAGCCGGGTGTGGTGGCACACGCTTGTAATCCCAGCACTGGGGAGGCTGAGGAAGGAGAATCACTGTGAGTTCCAGAGCAGCCTGAGCTACATAGTGAGTTCCAGGTCAATCTCAACTACACAGTGAGACCCTGTCTCAAAAGCAAAGCAAAACAAAAAACCAAAACAAACAAACAAACAAACAAACAAAACAAAACAAAAAAACCAAACCTGTCTGTTTTCTTTGCTTGCACAAGCATAAAAAAGCCTTTGATACACAGTAGTGCCTTTGCATCGTTTCACTTTTTACAGTTTCAGATAGCTGAGGTCATTCACAATTCAAAATATCAAATGGAAAAATCCATAAATAAATGACTCATAAAGTTTACATTTCATGCCACTCTCTGCAACATGATTAAATCTCATACTTACCGCTTCTTCTAAACTGGAATAGTAGCTGGGGATTTAGCTCAGCAGTTCAGTGGCCTGCCTTGCAAGCACAAGGACCTGAGTTCAATCCCTGGACTAGAAGTACTCATACTGTATGCCTTACTTGCAATTTTGTTACAATGTATCCTTCTGGGTTATCAGATCAACTATCATAGCATTATAGGTTTATGTTCTCATAACTCTTATTTTATTTAGTGATGATCCCTAAGCACAAGAGTAGTAATGCTGAGAATGTAGATTTGCCAAGAAGAAGCTATAAAATGATTACTTTAAACAAAAAGGTGAAAGTTCTCAACTTCATAGGGAAGAATAAAATAGAAGGTGAGTTCAGAATCATCTATGGTTTCTATTATCCACTGAAGTTATATATTGCAGATAAGGATGAACTACTCTGTACTATCTCTATGTTAAAAACAATTGTACAATTCAAATCCAAAAAATTCTTTACATATTTGCATAAATTTTGGTCCAAGAAATTTCAATTATAGATATGTATCCCAAAGAATTAATCATAAACAGATGAACAACATAAAAGGATATGTACCAGAGTATTTTTAATAGTATCAAAGATTTGGAATTCTGTCCTATTAGTGATATATTGTTTAAAATAAATCATGCATAAGAAAAAAAGAGACTGTTATAGATTCTTGAACAATGTAACAGAATAATTATAATGAACTTTCTGTATTTTATCTTTATAAATTTGAAACAGTGAATTTCAAAAATTTGAATTTATATAAGATAAAAATATTGTACTTATTTATGAATGTGAAATATATTATATGTCACCATAGATAGCATGAAAAATTAGGTATATGCAAAAGAAATGATTATTTATATATGAATTACTTGTATAAGAACTATTACTTGCATAAGAATTACTTTTATACAGAAAAGTCTTCTGAAGAGATAACATTAAATTGTTAATTCCTGCTATCCTTAGGTTGTGTCATTAGAATGACAGCTATTTTTTGTTATTTCAGATTTCTAGATTTTCTGCCATGAAAATTCTCTGAAATGGGATTTCAAAGAAATATATCAAGAAATATACAAATAAATATCTCAAAGCATTCTGAATTAAATGAATAAAAATTAAAACAAGCACACACCCTTTGGCACAGATAATTCACTTTTAAGGATAAGTCATAAGAAAATCACCAGAAAGAATATATCACTTATATATTTGTATAAAATACTAAAATACCATATATTTACTTGCTGCTTTTACTTCTTTGTCTGAGAAATGTCTGTTCATTTAGGATGCCCATTTTTGAATCGGATCTTTATATTTGGGGGGGCTGATTGTTTTGAGTTCTTTATATATTCTTGATAATAATAGTCCTTTGTCTGAGAAATAAATCCCTGGCCCTAAGCATATCTGTTTTATTATGCCCTTTTTGTGGAGTTGCTTTTGTAGTTGTTTATATTTTGGAAGTTTATTTTCATTTTAAATTAGCTTAGCTCAAAGCTGTTTATATATTTTCTTTAAATTAATCCCGGACATAGTCTTGAATTTACATTTTACAATGCACAAAAGTTCAGCGATAACGTATATCCACACATCTCTCCTTCCATCTTATGGTAAGTACTTTTGCGGCTCTTTTTTCTCATAATCAACTATTACTCAAAACTTCCGTTTCTTCCAAATTCAGTCACGTGGCAGATCGACTATGTTTTCTGCCCTCTCTTCTCATTCCACATGCTGCTCACTCATAAAATCTCACTCTCAATTTCTGTGTCCATCCTACCTTACAGAACATTTTAGGAAATGAAAACAATCAATATCCCCCGAATCGAATCTACTTAGTAATGATAGTAGCATTCATTATTTTAAAAAGTACCTCCCTCGTGCTTTACTAGCATTTCTTCACCTGTGCTTTCTCGGTGTCTGTCCGCATGGCGACTTTTTCATTGTTCTTTCGTTTTCTCTTCTGTTTTTCACCTTTAAAATATCAAAAGAGACGCACATACTAAAATAAGATTACTGACATTTAGAAATGGGAAGAAAGGAGCTAAAGGTGTAGGGAAGGTGAGATGGGTAGGGGAAGGGTAATAACGGAAAGAAAAAAATGTGAGATAATGAAAAGACGGAAATAAAGTGTTTGTAGATGGGGAGGGGAGGAGGAGGTGAAGGGAGGGCAGGGGTAAGGGGAAAAAATGAGAATCAAGACTTGTCATGTAGAGGTACAAGATAGAAATGGGAAGAAAGGAGCTAAAGGTGTAGGGAAGGTGAGATGGGTAGGGGAAGGGTAATAACGGAAAGAAAAAAATGTGAGATAATGAAAAGACGGAAATAAAGTGTTTGTAGATGGGGAGGGGAGGAGGAGGTGAAGGGAGGGCAGGGGTAAGGGGAAAAAATGAGAATCAAGACTTGTCATGTAGAGGTACAAGATCCCAACAATGAATGTAACTGTACTGTATCCCTAAAATGTACCAATAAACTCAATTAAAGCTGAAAAAATATACTAAAATACCAGATAGAGCAATATTTTCTCCGTAGAATTTGGCTTAAAGTGATAAAAGTAAAAACAATACACTAAGTTGCTAAAATGAAAAAAAATTAATAGTGAAATATCTAAGAGGTCTTAATGAAAAAATAGTACAAAATGAAGCTACAGTTAATCTATTTTAATAATTATTCACTCACATTTATATATGAGATCAAGAAAAATCAGAAATAAATGATTTACAAGACAAGTACAGTATTTAATAATTAAAGCTGTTGCACTCTTTGCTATGGTTTATGTCATAATGCCACCAAAGAGCCTGATGTGCTCATAGGCGGGGCTTTGAAAGATGATGAGACTTGAGAGCATTATACCCTCGTTGCTGTTAGAAGGCCGGGTCTACTAACAAGAGGCGAGTCACTGTGTGCAGTCCAGAAGGTCCCTCTCCTTTCCAGGTTTTTTCCTTCACCCTCTGCTTCCTGGGTGCCATGATGTAAGCAGCTTTCTTCCACCTCGGTCCTTGTACCATATAGTTCTGTCTTAGAGCCAGCTGCCTTTGTACTGAGATCCCTAAAAACTATGAGCCAAAATACACCTTTATTTTAAACTGCAGATGTCAGGTATTTCATGCCAGCAGGGAGAAAAGTTACCTTTTAAACAGTGATCTATATTTCCCATCTTGAGGAATAATATTTTAATTTTAAGAGAATTTTCTTCGGTGAAAGCAAAATTGTAAAACATTTGCACTCATGATTTCTTCCTACTCAAGGTCCACGTGGCCTAAGATGGAATATAAAGATTAACAAAGTAGGAAAAATCCATGTCACTCACTCTTGTTGTGTAAGCGGCTTCTGGATCATCCTCTAGAACTCGTGAAAGCCCAAAATCAGAAACCTTACACACCAAATTACTGTTGATCAAGATGTTGCGGGCAGCAAGGTCTCGGTGAACATAACCCATGTCTGACAGATACTTCATGCCAGAAGCGATCCCTCGAAGCATCCCCACAAGCTGGATGACGGTAAACTGGGCATCATGTTTCTGCAAATCATTTCCAATGTATAATTAAAATATGTTTCCAATAGCCTGAAATATATCTTTAAAATCTCAAGAAGGCTGTTCTACTAAGGCTGACTATGCACAGTTTATCTCAAAGCACTCAAGAGTAACAACGTATGTGGATCAATGGATATAAAAATGACGCTGCATAATGTATATATTACCAAATAAAATACCATGTAATCATCAGGGGATTCAAACGTCATATTTTCCTGATATTTCTATGATATACAACCTCCTGCTCAGAAACATTAAGGTAAAAAGCAAAATAACATGAAATAAAATGGGTCTTGTAACATTTCAGCTTGATACTACATTTGTTTGATGGAATATTTATTCTTCCTTCTTCCTTCCTTCAAATAAGGTAGATACTAAATTCCTGACTATTATCATAAATAATTAGTTCATAATTAGTAAAACATGATCATTGAATTTATGTGTTTCTACTAAACCCTGAATTGTAGGCTGTAAAGTAGAAAGAAAAGGAGAGAAAATCAGAATCCTGGATTTAGAAGAATTTTGAATCCACTTGTATTAAAATAGAAATGTAAAAGTAATATATTGATATAAAATTTCACATCTAAATATATCTATAAAAGCATTGTTAAATGAATAGTTATGATAATAGTTAAAATTACCTGATTTGGAAAATGTTTTGAAATGTTTGTGAAAATATTTACAATAAAAAATTATATTCAGTACATGAATAGTAAAATAAAGTATATCATTTTTCATCCTTAGAAAAAGAATTTTCCTCCATGAGTATAAATTCTACTATGTTTTATCTATCATGTACTTAATTATCAATCATTCATCTTTCTCAATATATAGAGTATTAAATATAAGCTTAAATATCACAAGGTTTCTCATATCAGAAACAAAAATATAAATAAGTGGCAAAATAAAAGGATGGTTATAGAAAATAAGAGATAGATCTTTTGCAAAGGGGTAGTGGACCAAAAGGCAGAGGGAGGCAGAAAGGAAGAGGAGTAAAAATAAGTAATACTTGTTATGTACATGTAATAACTCCCCACTAAGAATATAATCATTGTGTACTGAAAACATATACCAATAGAAATAAAAATGCATAAAAAAGAAAGAAGAAAGACACCCTAAGAACAGGGCATGTGTCTTTTCTTATCCTCTGCAGTGACTCAAGATTTATCGCGTCTTGGAGGCTATAAATTTTTGGTATTTCTTTGAAAATAGTATTTGCTGACATTTTCAAAAAATCTATTAAATATACAAAGAGTAAATATTCTAAATTTAAAGAGTTTTAAGTATGTATCACCAGAATTATATACCTCAATTGAGAATATATATATACTTCTGTAGTGCAAAAAGCATGTACAGTTTCTTAGTAGACGGCACTACATCACTACATGAGACATAGCACAGAATGAGGTTACACTGCTTAAAGTGAAGAGAATATTTCTTTTTTACATAAAAGTTATTTCTTTCTTGCTTTAGAGTTTTTTTTTAACTGATGTGACTCTGGGCAATAGAAAGGCCTGAAATTTTCCCATTTAAAAAATTAAACAATTAAAATTAAGATCATTCAAAAAATATAGTTTAATAGTTTGTCCTATTTAGTCCCAGAAAATTTCAGTTACACTTGAAATTTAGCTTTTTGCTTTGTGTAATATTGGAAAGCTTCCTTCATGTTTTAAGCAACTCATTCATAAATATGTATATATATATGTGTACATATTTCACTTACACGTAAGAAGCTGTCCAAGGAACCATTCTCCATGTACTCTGTGACAATCATAACTGGCTTACCTAGGTATATGGTAAATAACACATCATATAAGTATAGTTCAACAGATGCCATGCAATGAAAGTACATAATAAATACATATTGATACATTTGACACAAAGATGTAAGAACTTTCCTTGTCCTCCCAACTTTACCAAGTTGCAATTACAAAAATAAATGAAGGATCAAAACCTAGAGTTGAATAGAATATGAAACTAAAAGAATTGATTTAAGATGGTTTTCCAGAACAAAGGTTCATTTGAGGTGGCCTGTTTAACATGGTTTTTTATGAACAAACAAACATACTACTTTTCTACCTTTGTTTGTACCTTAACTAACTTTCAGAATCAGGTACTCTGCCTTCAAGTCCAAGAGTACAGCCTTTATGTATTCTTACTGTAGATATTTATAAGGCTATTGCATATTCTCTTTCATTCAGTTACAGAAAAACAAGTAAATCAAAAAGGTATGGGGGAAGTGGGAAGGGTAGGGGAAAGGAATTAAAAGAAAAAATATGAGAAAATGAAAAAAAGGAAATAAAGTATTTGTAAATAGGGAAGGGAGGAGGGGGTGAAGGGAGGGCAGGGTAAAGGAAAAAAATGAGAACCAAGACCTGTCATGTAAAGGTACAAGATCCCAATGATGAATGTAACTGTACTGTATCCCTTAAGTATACTAATAAACTCAATGAGAAAAAAAAATCCCTTTCTTTATAGACTGTAGAAGACAGTTGCATAAAACAAGATAATAATAATAATCTTTTTACATAGTTTCTAAAGCCCATACTATGTTCAAAAGGAAAATGAAACTAAAATTAAAATTTCTGTGGGAAATAAACTGCAGAAACCATTTAGAGATATGCCCTTCAATATCATTAACCCTTTTAACTCAGCAACTTAATGTGCTTATATAGTAATTATTATGTGCAAAATGTAGCATCAATTATTATATATGTTGACTTATTGTTTCCATTTTATACATGAGAAAAATTGAGACATTGAGGTTGATTTACCTTCTACACTGTCATAAAGCTAACAAGTTATTATGCCAAAAGTTGCAACCTACATTCTCTATGCTGTCATGGAGTAAAACATTTAAAATCCAAAAAAGCATCAGACAAAAAGATGCTAAGAATACAGGATATGTATAACTGTATCTATATCCATATCTATATCTATAGCTAAAAATAAAGTGAATGTTTAACTAATCATTGCAAACAGTTGTTTCATGTGGAGTGTATAGACTACTTTGAATTAAAATAACTCTGAAAACTAACACTTTAACCAACTCTTTCAGTATAATGTTATGTGAACAAAGCTGAACCGTAACAGCATATACATTAGCATCATTTCTAACGAAGGAGTAGTGAAAAACTCTTCAAAATTAGAGAATGTTTGTTATATGCAGGAAATATTATAAAATTTTCACTCTCTAAAATTTTATAGCATTACATTAGGTACTTGACTGACATATGTTATGTGATTTCATCCTCACCATATCTTTATGCGTCAGTGGTATTTATTAGTCTCACTTTGGTGTGTTTCACTTGAAAGCATTGTAATTTTATGCAACTTTTTGGGTCATACAATTAGCTCATAATTGAGCACATCCCAGATATGGCTCTCTCCTATTTTAAAGCCTAGATGTATTGCCACATTATAGAACTTTATTATATCATTTCTATATCATTTATGTATACATTCTTCCAATTAAGAGAAAATTATTTTTCTTCCAAGTGCAGAAGACTGAGTTTTAGTGGAAAATTTCTGAAAGACTTTGAAATGACATATTTTAAAATCATTCATATATGTCTAACTATATAACAGATTTATATATTTTCCTCATATGCACCTTCTATATTATGAGGGTTAGTTTGCCATTTTGATGCTAGAAAATAGCTTATTTTTCTTTTATATATGAAAACTCTTAATTTATACTTCTTGCCAATCATGAATTAAGATCATGAAGTTTACACTTAATAAATTTAGTAACTTAAATGCATCATAAAGTGTATATCTTTTTATTGATAAGAAAAAACTTTAAATTTTATAAAATTTTCCTGATAATTTTGAAATGTTATATTAACTGATACTTTGATCTATTTCCATTAAGACATTGCTTTATATTTGTTAGGTGCCACATCACATATACCTAGCTGGTTAAATATCTGAAAAGTCATGTTTAGCCAAAACTTTAGTATCAAACACTTGCTTTTTTCAAACTCCAACTAAATGTAATTTGGGCAGTATTCTCAAATAAACAGAAAAATCTCTCTTGCCTTGGAACCTCTGATGATTCCTAAGCTACTATTACCAGATACCTGGTTTGAAATTGAATTAGTTAATTAATTAATTAATTAGTGAGTGAAATCGGGTATATGTATGTACTGTATAGACCATCACCAGTGTCTATTTCCTTCTTTAATACAATTCTGGTAAGAATAACATGTTGCCCAATTTCAACGTATACTTCAAATGGAGTCAGAGATAATTTGCCTCATACTGCAAGTTACTACGTTTGTGTACTATTCAGACATTTGCTTATCACTATTCCTCTCTGGCTCTGAGCCATATGACCAATTCATTTCTTATTAGCATGTCTAGTAGAATGTTTGGCAATGGAAATAAAAGTAGCTAAAATATCAAACCAGTCAATTAAAGAAAAGCCTCATGACCATTCATAAATCAGATCAGGCTGCCTTTAACTCTATAATTTAAATATTTATAAACAGATCAGGTAAGGTGGGCAAGTCTGAAAATGTGCTTTGCATTAAGTTCAAAGATGCTGCAGACCAAATATACAAAGAGTAAACAGAATCACAAGTAATCTACAATGGAAAGCAACATTCTATTTTAGAGTCTCCATTATGATCTTAATTTAGATAAATATGGTTACAGAAAAAGAGTTTCTGGAATAGTGGTGAAGAGCTAGTTCTAACACGCATTAAATAAAGTGGGAAATAATTTATAAGATACCAGGTTATTTGCCTATTATACAATGCATTGGTAGCCTAGTGTGCATAATATTTTATCCTATTTTGATTTACAAGTAGCATCATGAACATTTTGAAGACAGCGTATTTTTATTCACTGCTTTGCGAAAGCAACTGCAAAATGTGTCTGGGTAGACAGGCTGAACTCAGTGGAACTACTGTTGTATGATTGGCTGGAGTAAAATGCCACCAAAAATAAGTACAACAAAATTTGTAGTGGAATTGTGCTTTTATTCTTAAATTGATTCCCGAATAAAGAGCTTTCATAGAATAAAGAGATCTAAACCAATCTGTTAAAATCAGTTCAATTTCCCCAAATATCCCCAGTGACTGAGAGACACTCATAATCATTAAGTCACTGCTTGATACCGAAATGTGATTGAAAACGTCTGAATTCTAGATTCAGCACTGAGTATTTCACTGTAATCTTCTTAATGACACTTCCTCTAAACAGAAGAGCAAAGTAATGTGATATAAAAATATATACATAGTTAGAAAGTGAAACATTTTCTTTGAAAATTTTCAAATGTTATTTTTGGTTTAAAATATTTATATTCAAACAAAATATGTATATTTCATTAAAGTATTATATAGCATTGAAATTTTATCCATTTCTACAGGAAATGCTATTTTCTTCTACTAATGGCAGTAATTTTATCTAAAGCTGTATGTTTTATTTTTGAAAGAATAAGACATGAGTGTTGCCTATGAAATCAAAATCTTTGAACTTAGTATCTCCAACTCTAGTATAATGTAATCAGAATCAAGGTGGAAGCAAAAACAAACCAACAAACAAACAGGAAAAAGAGGCTTGAAGAAGACTTAAATCATCTTTGATGAGAAAAAAAAATGTTTCATATATATAGATATATAGATATATAGATATGATTGGCAATCTAAAAAATTGAAATTTTGCAATAAATGGAGTTATGGGATTTTCTGTGAGTTTCTCATTAAATCATTATAAAAATACAGGTCAGTGTTTTCCAAATTCTATTTTAATTAAGACATTATTCTGCTGCAACAAATATTATTCAATTTATATCTACTATTCTTTGGGTTAGGAAAGCAAAGGCCAATCCCATGTGCCTGTAGTTCTAAGTCCACTGCTTACCAGTGAGCCAGTCACAAGTGATTAGATTATGGCCCTCTTTTTCAGTCTGGCTAAGAACAATTCTCTTCAAAATCAGACTTAGAGGGCCAGGGATTTAGCTGTGTGGTTCTGCCGCCTGCCTCTCAAGTGCAAGGATCTGACTTTGATTCCATTTACAAAAAAAAAAGTTAAAATCAGTCTGAGAAAACACTATCTTCAGATCTTCCTTTCCCAATTATACTCTCAATCTTAACACATAGAATGCTTAATATTCAGGTTATATTTAAATATTTCAATTTGTCTAAAATTGAAATTGAAATGAGTTAATATCATAATAACTGAATTCTACTTTCCCTTATTCCAGTCAAAGCTAAATCATACAGTAAGTGCAAGTAATGCTTTTAGTAATATGAACATGCTGATCAATTTTACATGGATAGTCTTGTGTTTAGCCATTTCAAGCTTTCTACCCTTTATTTTTGTGTCTAATTGTAAAGTTTGAGATATTTAATATAATATTTGAAGTGATGATAACAGGATTCTAGTTCCAGCTTTAAAAGAAATGCTATTAATATTTTACTATCACCCGGGGATTTGACTCAGTGGTTCCAACACCTGCCTTGCAAGGAGCCAAATTTGATCCCCAGTACAAAAAAAAAATATATATATATAGTATTGAGTATTAGTATTGAATATATTTTTTATGTTTGTTTGTTCTTTTGGTCATGTTGGCATGCCTTAATCTGGCACACATATTTTTTTCCTATATTAAGTTAATAATTTAAGCCCCGAAAGGTTATTTTCTGCACCAATTGAGATGTTTTCTTTTTATCCATCAATGTTGTAAATAGTTGGATTATTTAAATATTAAACCAATGGGGAATTCTTGGAATAAACTCAGATTGATCATGGTGCCCTTTGTATGGATCCCAATAACC